CAGGGAGCTGGGTTGCATGCACAGGGAAAACATAAACATTTTTTTAAAATGTTTATAAAAAACATAGTTACCACCAAACCACAAACACACCTTCCCACCACTTGTCAAACTAACTGGAGGATCTCCAACATGGACTCTCCACCACTTCCAGCCTTCTGATAAAATTTGACTTAGTTGAGGTCAAGTTGTTAGCACCACACCACCCACCATTTCCTCTTCCTTCCTTGAGAGGAAACAGTACAGAATTCTGGGCATTAAGCTAAAATACTTAGCAAAAAGCTGCAAAAAGCTACCAAAAGCTAAAAAATTGTGTTTAATTTTATTTGAATTTTTTTCAGAAGTAATCATCTTATTAATCAGTGGAAATTCACCCTGGAATTACTCTGTTTAAAAAAAAAAAAAAAGGAAGGAAACACATTTCGCTAACAGCAGCATTTTTCATTATTTTACATGCAGTGGTTTTGTACTTTGTTGACAAAGGTCTTCAATTTGGATTCATCTCCAAAAAAAAGGACTTTCGTTACCTATGAGAACACTATGAAACACTCAGTTATGAAGGACTAAGTTAAAGAATGTAAAGCCTTAGAAATGCTTTAGTAGCAATGTAGTAATCATGTAATGAATATGTGCCACAGTTATTAATGTGTGTAAACATGATTTTATCCACTGCAATAAAAATTGATGTTTGCCTCCTCTTAATAATCCCTCCTCCTTTTTATTTTCTGTTTTTTGCCATGAAGTCATACTCTGTCACCCAGACTGGAGTGCAGTGGTGTGATCATGGCTCACTGCAGCCTCAAATTCCTGAGCTCAAGCGATCCTCCCACTGTAGCCTCCCAAGTAGCTGAGACTACAGGTGTGTAGTATCAGGCCCAGCTAATCTTTTGGTATTTTTTGTAGAGGCAGCATCTTGCTTTGTTGCCCAGGCTGCTCTCAAACTCCTGTGCTCAAGCGACCCTCCTGTCCTGCCTCAGCCTCTTGAAGTGCTGGGATTTCAGGCATGAGCCACCAAGTCTGGCCTAATCCCTCCTTCCTCCAGCAATATTCCTGGCTTTTGTTAGGGGATCCTGTCAGGATGCAGTTCTCCACAGGTCTCTTGCCTTTCTGCACATTTCAGAGCAGAGGCACCAATGGCATTTTGTTGTGAACCATCTTTCAAAGGATGTTGTTTAACCATCTTCCAGCAGCCTTGGAAGATAGAGATAATGTCTCCCTCCAGAGCAGAAGGCAGGTTTGTTTGGTATGTGATATATTAAAAATGAAGGCCAGGCACAATGGCTCACACCTGTAATTGCAGCAGTTTTGCAGGCTGAGGCAAGAGAGTTGCTTGAGCCCAGGAGTTTGAGGCTACAGTGAGTTATGTTTGCACCACTGTATTCCAGTCTGGGTGATGGAGTGACACCCTGTTTATATACATATAAAGTGTGTGTATGTGTGTGTATGTACGTCTAAATATATATAAGTGAGATATATGTCACATGTATAACATCTGTATTATGTATCTAGCATCTGTATTGCATGTCTGTAACATATATTACATATGTAATAGAGAGATGATGTCTCCCTCTGAGGCAAAACCTGTTCAAATTGCTTAGAGCCCATTATAAAAGATTGGGGATTTCTATGCTAAGGTTCCCTGGCTTTGACACAAACCCATATGTGCAGCATCCACCTGAGCCCACCATGGCGTCGCCCCCTCGGACTTGGGGGACGTGGAAAATGATGTGAAGGTGAAGCAAAGTTGCTTGCAATGCCATGAAAAAGAGTCCTTTGTCCCCATGCACAGAAGAATGAACACTGCAGGCCTGACGAATATCCTTATGAAGACCTGTCTGCAAGGTTGACCTTCGGTTGGTGCATGGGCACTTGGATTTTGGGAGGGTTCCCACCATTGCAAGAATTTATAAAAACGGCTTATTGGGCCTAAACTGTTTGTATAAACTGTGATTCATGCTGAACACCTGCTTTCCTTCTGGGAGCCTGGAAAGTTGGTAGGTGCCAGGAAGAGGCTTCCTACCTGATCAGCCCCCAGTAAAACCTGGCTGCTGAGGCTCTCATGAGCTTTCCTGGTTGACAACATTTCACACATGTCACAATTGTTGCTGGGGTGAATTAAGCGTGTCCTGCGTGACTTCACTGGGAGAAAACTCTTGGAAGCTTGTGCTGGTCTCCCCTAGATTTCACCCCAGGTACCTCTTCCCCTTGCTGATTTCACTTTGCATCTGTTCACTGTAATAAGTCCCAGCAGTGAATATGACTCTGTTCTGAGTCCTGTGAGTTTTCCTAATGACTCATTGCCTGGCAGTGGTCTTGGGACCACTGACATTGTCTCTGATTCCAGAATCTCATGTCTTCTGTCAGCATCCATGAAATGGTGACAGACTAACTTGTTAATTTCAAGGATGAAACCACAGGCCCATCACAGTGCTTGAAAAAGCAATCCCATTACCTCTCAGGACATATGGGAGAGTGTGTGTGGGGTGGGTGGGAATTCCAGATCTAACTTAATGTGGGTGTTCCATGCCCTGCTTATCATGGAGCTTTCAGGAGCAGGCACCTGATCTAAGCCAATCCAATCTGAATGAAGGCCTTTTCTTCTCCTCTGTCCATGACTCAAGAAGAGTGTAACCTGGGAAAACCACCTCACAATCATGGGACTTAACCCAGAGAAAGTGAGACCAAGAAACTGGTCCTGGATGACACTATCGGAGCCCCTGAAACCAGCCAGCCTTGCGGCCAGTTTGCCCTTGGATGATTTTTAAGATATATGAGCTAATGAATTTCCTTTATTGCTTAAGATAGATTGGACATAATTTTCTATCCTTGGTAAGAGGAGTCCTGCCCAGGCGCAATGGTTCATGCCTGTAATCCCAGCACCTGGGGAGGCCGAGGCAGGAGGATCATGAGGTCGAGATTGAGACCATCCTGGCCAACATGGTGAAACTCCGTCTGTGCTAAAAATACAAAAATTAGCTGGATGTGGTGGTGCACGCCTGTAGTCCCAGCTACTTGGGAGGTTGAGGCAGGAGAATCACTTGAACCTGGGAGGTGGAGGTTGTAGTGAGCCAAGATCATGGCACTATACTCCAGCCTAGAGACAGAGCAAGACTCTGTCTCAAAAGAAAAAAAAAGAGGAGTCCTAACTGATGCAGATCATGGCTGTTCAAAGAATAGGCCCCCTGGAGGACCTCTCAATCCAATTACAGAGAACCAAGCCTCACAAAGATGGGATCCTTCTTTTGAGGACCCTGAGACTATCTCAATAAAAATCATCAACCTCCAGGAGTCAACATTTTAAAAGTGCCTACCAAAGTAACAGTAGCAGATAGGAGTTGGACTTGGTAACATTTCAGGTGACTTACAGCCGGAGATACTCTTCCAGGCTGCAGAGGTGTTTGTGTGTCTAGGGGACCCAGACCTTCACTTAAAATGAAGTGATGATGTAACCGTGGCCACAGGAGCTGAGGACTTGCCTACAGGGAGAGGAAGAGGAGGTGGTTTGAGTTGAGGGGAGCTCCGTGCCATTCCTGTGTCTGTGTCCACGCCACACCTTCCTGTCTGCACCACCACAGGTGATGGGTTGGTTTTCTAGCACAATCTGGTGGCTAAGAACTTGCCTCTGCTGCGTCTCCCTGCAGACTTCAGGGAAAAGCACTGGAATGACAAAAGGAAACACTGGAGGCTTCACTTGGGTGGCACAGACCAAAGACTTTTCCAAAAAAAAAAAAAAATAGAATTCTGCAAATGATGTTTAAAGTCATGATTATATTTAATAGTATTAGGGTGGTGCAAAAGCAATTGCGGTTTTGGCCATTACTTTCCATGGCCAAAACCGCAATTGCTTTTGCACCAACCAATATAAATTGTAACAGATTTGAGACAAAATGTAAAATTTTTCAAACTCAGCAGTAGAATTTATCAACACAGAATCTGTACTATATGAAATAAATTAATAGAGAACCCAACAGATCACCTTATGTTGTAAATATATGTATCTTTAACTAGGTTAAAATAACATAGCAAAAATATATATTTATGGGTACAAGACACATACATAATTTGTACCAATCTCACAGAATTAATTCAATTCAAAACAACAACAAAAAAACTTACTATATTTTCTAATGGATGCAACAAAAATTAACCATTTGAAAATAAGTTCTCTTGTGCTTCCCCTACTTACTTTTTTCCTGGTACCTGCTATACTATGTTTGTGTTTCTTCAGCACTTTACTGTCTGACTCCCACTAGATTGTAAGTTTCAAGAGGGCAAGGCCTCTGATACACTGCTGTGTCTCTAGCACCTGGAACTTGGCATGTAGTAGGCATCCAATAAATAAGTGTTAAATGAGTGAATTTAAAACACACACACATCAGGCATGGTGGCTCACGCCTGTAATCCCAGCACTTTGGGAGGCCAAGTTGGGTGGGTCACCTGAGGTCACTGAGAGTTCCAGACCAGCCTGGCTAACATGGTGAAACCCCATCTCTATTAAAAATACAAAAATTAGGTCTTCCTTTCTCTGTCATCGTGGTGTGTGCTTGATTCCACTTCTTACCATGTCTTCTTACCAAGACTTTCAGGATTAAATGATTCCTGACCAAGAAACAAAAGTAAAATCACCCTACGCCCCAATGGATTCAGATGAAAACTGGTCATAAAATCAGGTACAACTCCAAAAGGAGACATTGGAGAAGAACCAAGCTGGGCCTATAGGAATTGCACATGAGATGGCACACACGTTTATGCTGGCTGAGGGTCACAATCATGTTACCATATCAAGCTGAAAATATCACCACTACCTGGAGAGTTGGACATATTTTATTAGGAATATATTTTTTCTGAGTCTGGTATGAACACATTGGTTGGCTGGGTTTAATAATAAATATGTGAGACTTTTCATTAAAAAAAAATACAAAAATTAGCTGGCTGTGGGATCGCACACCTGTAGTCCCAGCTACTTGGGAGGCTGAGACAGGAGAATTGCTTCAACCCAGAAGGTGGAGGTTGCAGTGAGCTGAGATCGGGCCACTGCACTGCAGCCTGTGTTACAGAGCAAGATTCCATCTCAAAACAAACAAAATCATGCACACATTTAATCAATATAAAATATTATTTCCACAATGTCATTTCAAGCTAATACTGCATAGCCCACATGTGCTAAACCTCACAATGTCTTTACCTCATACCTGACTCTCTTTCCTGACCCCCTGTGGGGTCAGTCAATGCCCTGGGGTTGCTTAGCCACTTGGTCCTACCAGCTTTGGGGACCAGGTCTGTTTCAGCTCATCAGTGTATGCCCTGGCTGGCTTTTCCCATAGAACAGAGTTGCACAGTTGTGGGTGTGAAGCTACAGAGGAGGAAGGGAGGTAGAATGTCCTCATCCTAATGTCCCTCTGAACTGCCGTGTGTGTTGCTCCAGCTTCTCGGCCTTTGCCTGCAGGTGCCCCAGCGCTGCAGGGCTGGGGTACTGGAGCACCGCGTTCTTCGTGGCCAGCGCTACATCCTTGAGCAGGCTGCAGAGGTGACTGCTGCTGTGGAGGATCTCATTGCGCACGTCTCTCTCCTGAGTTTCCTTGCACAGCGTGTCCACCAGCTTCTGTCCCACTGTAATGACCAGCTTGCTCTGAGTGATCAGGATATCCGGGGGCTGGCTGCTGCCGAGGCTGCTGAGAAATGCACTGATGGCTTTGAAGAGTGCCCCAAAGTAGAGCCGGCAGTGTTCAGACAGGTGGGGTTTCTTCTCAGGAGCCTGTTGACTTGAAGGCTGGGGTATAAGAAGGCCAGGATTCTAAAGAAGGGAGGGACGAAAATAGATAAGAGATTTAATCATTGGGCTGTGGCTGTCTGCCCTTTCCTGTTTTGGCTGGATTTGCAAGACTTTTTATTTTATTTTTTTAAAAAAAGCATGGTTTTGTTTGGGAAGCCCAATACTGCAGCAGTTATCTAACAAATTAATGTTGATGTTTTCAGAGCACTGTAACATATAAAATATATAATCTTATATCATATTATAATACATTCATATATAATTTCATTCAGTCACCTCAATAAACCAGCCATAAGAAACCCATTTTAAGAAACACATTGGCAGTTACTATATTTATAACTTTTTTTTTGAGACATTCTTGCTCTGTCTCCCAGGCTGGAGGGCAGTAGTGCAATCTCAGCTCACTGCAACTTCTGCCTTCTGGGTTCAAGCGATTCTCCTGCATCAGCCTCCCGAGTAGCTGGGATTACAGGCACCCACGACCACACCTGGCTAATTTTTGTATTTTAACTAGAGATGGGGTTTCACCATGTTGGCCAGGCTGGTTTCGAACTCCTGACCTCAAATGATCCACCCACCTCAGCCTCCTAAAGTGCTGGGAGTACCAGTGTGAGCCACTGTGCCCAGCTAAATTTATAACTTTAACAATGCAGGAAAACTTGTTGGTGAGATTTAAAATTTTCTCAAAGAACAGATTCAAAAACATTTAAAAATCCTCTCTGGTTTCAATATAGAGGTATACCAGAATCTTCAAAATTTCCAGAAGAAATCAAATACCCTGACCTATCTGCCTTAATATTATTTTTTATTTTATTTTTTGCCTTAATATTAAAACATTTCCTAATAAGGTTTCATCAAAATTTTACATTCATGAATTTTATTTTCTGGAAAATAGAACCAACATCGCCCCAAATCCTATATACTCTTGAAAGATTTCAGTACCTAACTTAGTGGTCACAACTCCAGGTAGCAACTGAAAGGTGAAGCTTAGAGAAAAGGCTGCCTGGGGCCATTCCATTAGCAAATTAGAGACCTGGAGCTCTGCGTTTGAAACTTACTTTCATTCCATTAAACTTCATACGCTCACATTTACCTATTATCCCAAAATCCACACCCTGGAAGCATTCAGACAGATACGATATAGAACTGATTTTTTCAGAAGTGGAGTACGTTTCCAGGGGCTGGAGGGGAATTAGACAAGGAGGAGGAAGGTATACTTTGAAGAAGCACATTCATGATTAGAACTGCATATTTGGAAAATGAAAACAATGATTGTCTTTGTAATTGCAAGGGAAGGAAAGACTGAAATGCCAGTTCAGATGGACTCTGTGGAAGCAGGGAGTATAAGAATGAAGCAGGTCAGGTGCAGGGACCCACACCTGTAATCCCAGCACTTTGGGAGGCCAAGGCAGGAGGATAGCTTAACCCTAGGAGTTCACGACTAGCTTTGGCAACAAGCTAGTCTCTACCAAAAACGAAACAAAAATTAGCCAGGGATGGTGGTATGAGCCTGTAGTCCCAGCTACTCAGGAGCCTGCGGTGGGAGGATCAATTGAGCCTGGGAGGTGGAAGCTGCAAGGAACCATCATGTTGCCACTTCACTCCAGCCCAGGAAACACAGCAAAACCCTGCCGCAAAGAAAACACAAAAAGGTAGGGGGTGCAGTAATCCCAGCACTTTGGGAGGCCGAGGTGGGAGGGTCACTCGAGGTCAGGAGTTCGAGATACACCTTGCCAACATGGTGAAACCCTGTCTCTACTAAAAATGCAAAAATTAGCCAGGTGTGGTGGCATGCGTCTGTAGTCTCAGCTGCTTGGGAGGCTGAGGCAGGAGAATCACCTGAACCTGTGAGGCAGAGGTTGCAATTAGCCTAGATCACACCACTCTACTCACACCTGGGTGATAGAGTGAGACTCCATCTCAAAAAAAAAAAAAAAGAAGAGCTTAGAAATAACGAGAAGTAATGAGGTAGAGGTAGACATCAGATTATGAGCATTTTAAGTGAAAATATATTAACTGTAGGTAGGTTAAAAATGTGCTACGATTCTTAACTTGGGGTGCTGGAAATGTGTGGAGATAGTTTTGGTTATCACATTGACTAGGGACTTCTGTAGGCAGTGGGTGGGCAGGTTCTGGGATGCTGAAGAGTTCATCCCACGCAATGGAGAACTGTCCACCCAATGGTCAACGGTGCCCTGGGCTGCCACTGAGAAGTCACTCTAAAGCGGGGGTTTTCTAAGTGTGGTCCTTTGACCGGAAGCATCAACATCGCCTGCAAACTTGCTAGAAATGCACATTATTATGCTCCACCCCAGACCTACCAGATCAAAAACTCTGAGAGTGAGGCCCAGCCATGCCAGTTTGTTTGTTTGTTTTCTTGAGATCGTGTCTTGCTCTTGTTACCCAGGCTGGAGTGCAATGATGCGATCTTGGCTCACTGCAACCTCCACTTCCCGAGTTCAAGCAATTCTCCTGTCTCAGCCTTCTGAGCAGCTGGGACTACAGGCTCCCGCCATCATGCCCGGCGAATTTTTCATATTTTTAGTAGAGACGGGGTTTCACCATGTTGGCCAGGGTGGTCTCAAACTCGTAACCTCAGGTGATCCACCCACCTAAGCCTCCAAATTGCTGGGATTACAGGCATGAGCCACCACGCCCAGGCAGCCATGTGAGTTTTAACAAACGTCATAGGTGATTGTGACACACTCAAGTTTGAGAACCACTAGTCTAAGGCATATTTAGTGTGGAACAAAATAGCATGACTGTCAGCAATATGGCAGGCCCAAAGACGAGCGTTTGGAGAGCTGAGCGTCAAGAGGCCTGGGTTCTTGTCCTAGTTTGCCTCTGAGAAGGTACAGGACCTCATCCTAATCATTGGCCATCTCTGCTTTCCTTCCACCCTCTACGGCGTCTGCCCTATAACCTAGGTAAGTTTCCCAAGCTTCAGTTACTCAGAGATGACCCTTCCAACCTTTACAAGTTGTACTCTTTCCACTGTCATTTACCACAAATAGAAGGAAACCAATAAAAATAAGCACAATGATAACATCTTTGATTTTTTTTTTTTTAAAAAAAGGAAGAACATCAAGTGTCAAAGAGGTGTTGGGGATATACAAGCCCCAAAGGAAGATTTGCTGTTGGAATCAGAAACATTGAAACAGAATGTCGAAGAGGATGTGAGTCAGTCCTGTTCAGCCCTGTCAGTGCCACCCACAGCAGCCTTGCAGAGCACCTAGGGTCATTTTGCTAACAGCTAATGCTTCACTTTCCATTCCCTGGGGTTTGTTCATCAGACTCAGTGGTCTCCAGGATTCTCTTGCTAAAATAAAGAACAAAGAATCACAAAAATGAACTTGCACCCATGTGGATCACGGCTGTCATGCTGAGCTATCCGTATCATGATGAGACATAATCTAGCAATAAAGCGCATGAACCAGAAGTTTTAGAGTGAGTGCTATAGCTTACCGGGATTCCTAAGTCTTTGTTTTCATCTAACGTTTGTTCCAACATAGGTTTCTCTTTCTCTTCTAAGTTAAGCAACGTCTGAAAAAGAAAATCCCTTCAAATTACCAAAGTGAGTGGTTTTTTACACTACTGTGTAACTGTTTAAGCTCACTTTAAGACCTGAGCATTCTTCCTCATATTTTCTGTTGATGGCTCTGCCTACTGATTCCTTTTCTCAACCAAAGGAGACTTTGGCAGCCTAAAGGCTGAATTTTGCCTATAAACATGGCCTGATATAATGACCCACACAGCTTTGTTTCAAGTTATATATATGCGTATGTAAATTTTAAACATCCACATTTCTAGAACGCGTTAAAGCTCCTACACCACCAGGCATTTCAGCAGAACACAAAGGTTGGGGCTGAAAGCAGGAAATTATCTCCTTGACACAGCCCCCAAGTGATTGGTAGGCCTCGTAAATCCCTGAACTAAGGCATCTCATTCTATAATGCCTGAACTCATCCAGAAAAGTCTTTTTTTTTTTTTCTTGAGACAAAGTCTTGCTCTGTTGTCCAGGCTAGAGTGCAGTGGTGCAGCTTTGGCTCACTGCAAGCTCCGCCTCCTAGATTCAAGCAATCTCCTGCCTCAGCCTCCGGAGTAGCTGGTCTCGAGCTCCTGACCTCAAGTGATCTGCTTGCCTCAACACCCCAAAGTGCTGGGTTTACAGGTGTGAGCCACCACGCTCCACCTCTTTCTCTTTTTTTTTTCTTTTCTTTTTTTAGAGACAAGCTTTCCCTCTGTCACCCAGGCTGGAGTGCAGTGGCACCATCATAGCTCACTGTAACCACAAATTTGTGGTCTCAAGGGATCCCCTGACTCAGCCTCCCAAGTGCATGAGCCACCACACCTGGATATTTAAAAATTTTTTTTGTACAGCTGGGATCTCACTATGTTGCCCAGACTGGTCTTACCTGCCTCAAGGGATCCTCCTGCGTTGGCCTCCCAAAGTGTTGGAATTACAGGCATGAGCCACCACACCAAGTCTCAGAAAAGTATTTCTAAGAGGAGCTAAAGTCTGGAGGCTGATCAGACCATGAGCGATTTAAAATAATGTTTCTACTTCCTCTTCCATTGCTAAGAAACACACTGACAATGACTCAGTTTATAAATTTCAAAAATGCAAGGAGATTTGGTGGCGAGGTTTTAAATATCTATTCAAGGAACAGATTTTTACGAAACTTTAAAAATCCTTTTTAATTCTAATATCATGGTAAACTTGAACCCCAAAAGTTTTCAGAAGAAATCCAAATAAAATGACCTATCTGCCTATGCTGACCTATCTTTGTCTGACTTGTTAATAAGATTTCATCAAGAATTTTGCTTTCATAAATTTTATTTTCTAGAAAATGGAACGAGAGTCTCCCCAAAGCCTATATATTATCAAAAGAGTCTCAGCATCTTCATGGCAACTAATCCAGGTAATAATTGAAGACTTGTTTTCGATCACTTGGAATTCTGAACTCACCTGTCCACAGATATTTGCTCTATTTTTCTTTAATAGTTCAGAAGAGTGCTCGTTTTCCCTTTGCTTAGTGGAAAGGATACTGTTTTGGTATGATTCAGTTTCTCTTTGGGGAGGTTGGATGCATTTTTTACACTTAAATTCTGCATTTGGGGTCAACTGAACAGTCTCATCCTTTTCACAGTTCTGCTTAAAAAGGAGCCTTCCATTGGCAATGACAATGGAGGCAAACCTCTTGATGTCTTCTGGAAGCATCCGTGCCACCATGACAAACCTCTCAAGGTCATCTGGGCTGTTCTGGACATTGTCAGTCACAAGAACTTCCAGAGGCCATTGGCGATTGTCCAAGCTTTCCTTTGTTTCAAGCAGGATGCGGTAGGAGTTGGAGATTGTCTGCATCTGGTCCCGAATTCTGTTCTGAAGGTGACTGTCAGTGAGGTTATAGGCAGTCCCATGGACTCCTCGGGCAAAATCCAGAAATTCTCTTACAGATTCTTCTATGTGATCAGTGGCTCTGTGGATTGCATCAATGTTGGCCTCCAGATAGTCTCGGAATCTCCACTTCCTACTGACAAAGAGCATCAGGCCAGCAACGGAGCTGACCACCTTGTGCTGCAAAGCCATCGCTGTCTCCTTGGCCATGTCCAGGTCCAAGAAGAGCTCCTTTGCTGACTCCTCAGAGGAAGAGCTGGAGGAGGAGTCGGTGGATGTGGTGGAGCACGAAGAAACGACGCTAGCTCTGCTGTCAGAACTGGAAACTGATAATCTGTCGGGTTCAGGAGATAGGGAAGTGGTTCGCCTGGAGAACCATGAGGAATCATGGCCCGTGGAATTCTCTGACACCTCATTGATTTTCGTCAGTTCCTTCCCAGCCTGAGACACACTGGACATCGCTTTAGGGATGTCATAAATGTTGGGCTTGGTGTTCTGCTGTTCCACTCGGGGCATCAGAAAGCTTGAAGGAACCTTGTAGCTGACATCTGTATCCAAAGGAAATGTGTCTCTGGGTGTGAGAAAGCCGTAAGAAGAAATTTCTGGAACACTGAGTTTTTTCTGCATAGGCACCCTGTTGTTCAGTTGTGGAGTGAGGGACCTGGCTCTGCCACTTGGAGGACTGTGGAAAGTAGAGCTGGAGCTGGGGATAGCGTGGGGCCCTGATTCTTCCGCAAAGCTGGTGAGAGACGTCTTTCTGATGCTGGTCTTTCCTGGAGTGTCATAAATCCATTCTGACTTCTGAGGATTTGGTAATGTACTGTAGCCACCTCTTCTTAAGGTAGTTGCTGATATCAGGGGAACACCCTGCACCTGTGAAAGAACCACACACAGTGGCCCGGGTTAGTAGCTTTCAAAAGAGGGTGTGAATGCCTCGTTTAAATCTCATCCTCACTCCCCTGCTCAAGTTCCTTCAGTGGCTACTCATTTCTGTCACCACTCAAGGTCCTTCACTAATTCTTTTGAGCCTCGTTTCTTTCCACTTCCACCATGCCTACCCCCTAGTCTGCCACAACCTGCTTACGAGTCCAGCCACCCAAGCTGCTTACTTTGCCCTGAACTCAGAACACTGACTCATGTTCCTGTATTTCACTTTGCCCAAACTGGTTACTCTGCTCTAAATGCCCTTGCAACCCTTTCTTTTCCATCCACCAAACTCCTATGCATCCCCCGACTCGGCTGAAATGCCAGTCTTCTTGTAAGATATTCCGTAATGACCTTGGATGTAAGCGTGTCTGTGGGACACATGGTAGAATCATATTATAAACATGGATTACACAGATTTCAAATAAAGTCTTTCCCCCAGTACAGATAAAAGTGTACTGTATCACAGCGTGTCCCTGAGGTCTGGCATAATAAGAAGCCATTATATAACTTTTGCTCTGTGCCAGGCCCTATCCTAGGTCCTTTGCAGGATTACCTCACTTAATACTCCCAACCCATAAAAACAGAGATGTTAAATGACTTATCCCAAACCACATAATTAGTCCTATTCCTGAACACAAGCGCAATGAGAGGTTTTACCTCAAATGCAATAGGTCTCTGTTATGAGGAATTTGCATTCTAATTTTTGACCAAGCTAATAATATATTTTTAAAATTTTTGTATTTTAGTAGAGACAGAGTTTCACCATGTTGGCCAGGCTGGTATTAAACTCCTGACCTCAAGTGATCTGCCCACCTCAGCCTCTCAAATTGCTGAGATTACAGGTGCTCACCACCACACCTGGCCAATATTTGTATTTTTATAGAGATGGGGTTTCACCATGTTGGCCAGGCTGGGCTCGAACTCCTGACCTCAGGTGATCCACTTGCCTCAGCCTCCCAAAGTGTTGGGATTACAGGCTCGAGCCACCATACCTGGATCCAAGCTAATAACATTTCTGAGAGGATTTTTGTTGCTCGTAACACTGCACCTTAGCACCTCTTTGCACTTACACTTGCTTGGCCGGCTGGGGGATGGAGTCCTGCCTTCTTGCGGCTGGCTGGTATGTCGTATAACTGCGGCTTCTCTGGCTCCTGGGAAAGACCACAAATGCAGACAACTTGAATGTTTCTTTCCTAATGGCTACACATCACAAACTCTCCCAATACGAGTGTTTTTTCCAAAGGAAGACACAAAGTCCTGAAGACGTTTTGGTGCTCTTGATTATGGTACTAACGGTGGAAATCTAGGTGAGGGGTCCCCCACCTTCCTTGTTTAGGGCAGTACAGGGGATGTTACAGTCCCAAGTTTTTCCTGTAACAGGGTATATACATTAAACAATGGACTTTATGCTTTAAAAAGAGACTTCTCAACCAAAGGTGGAGGGGGGGACAACAGAGCATCAACTGCAGCTGCCTAAGTTAAAAAGGGTAGTTTGTCTTCTTTGAGTTAGTCCCCCTCCCTTTTGTTTGAGACAGTCTTGCTCTGTCACCCAGGCTTGAGTGCAGTGGTGCAATCTCGGCTCACTGCAACCTCCACCTCCCAGGTTCAAGTGATTCTCCTGTCTCAGTCTCCCGAGTAGCTGGGATTATAGGCACGCACCGCCACACCCAGCTAATTTTTTGTATTTTTAGTAGAAATGGGGTTTCACTATGTTGGCCAGGTTGGTCTCGAACTCCTGACCTCAAGTGATCTGCCCCTTTGGCTTCCCAAAGTGCTGGGATTATTGGTGTGAGCCACCACACCTCTGCACCCAGCCGAGTTCATCTTAAAATTAAGTCAGAGGATAAATGAGATTGAGACCTAATATGTCTGTTTTCTTTCTTGTTTTTCTCAGTAGAAATTTTCCTGTGTTTATCAGTCATAATTATTCTGCAAATATTTAATGCGTCCTACTAAGGACCATTTTATTGCTCTCGTGATGTGCCGGATGACACTTCACATCACGAGAGTAATAAAAACAGGGTATGAGCGACTCATTTAATAAACGTGTGTCTTACCAAGGTCCTAAGTGCCAGGCACTGTGCTGCTTTTTTTTTTTTTTTTTGAGGGGGCGCCTCATTCTGCTGGAGTGCAATGGCACAATCTCAGCTCACTGCAATCTCTGCCTCCCAGGTTCAAGCGATTCTCTTGACTCATCCTCCTGAGTAGCTGGGATTACAGGTGCGTGCCACAGAGCCCAGTTAATTTTTGTATTTTTAGTAGAGGCGGGGTTTCAACATCTTGGCCAGGCTGGTCTCGAACTCCTGACCTCGTGATCCACCCACCTCGGCCTCCCAAAGTGCTGGGATTACAGGCTTGAGCCACCACGCCCAGCTGGCACTGTGCTTCTTAGAAATCTGATTGTCAGGCCGGGTGCAGTGGCTCACACCGGTAATCCTAGCACTTTGGGAGGCCGAGGCGGGTGGATCATGAGGTCAGGAGATTGAGACCATCCTGGCCACGGTGAAACCCTGTCTCTATTAAAAAAAAATACAAAAAACTAGCAGGGTGTGGTGGCGCACGCCTGTAGTCCCAGCTACTCAGGATGCTGAGGCAGGGGAATTGCTTTAATCCAGGAGATGGAGGTTGCAGTGAGCGGACATTGTGCCCCTGCACTCCAGCCTGGTGAAAGACCAAGACTCTGCCTCAAAAAAAAAAAAAAAAAAAAAAAAAAAAAAATCTGATTGTCACTACCCTGCTCAAACTCCTTCAGTGGCTTGAGATATATCTATATGATATTATACATGTAATGCGTACAATAATTTAAAAACATATATATCACGATACAAAAAACAGGTGACAAATTCCAAAGCAAGGCAAGAGAGCACCAAAACAGGTTTTTCAAAGAAAGAGAGAAACAGCTGGTGACAAATTCCAAAGCAAGGCAAGAGAGCACCAAAACAGGTTTTTCAAAGAAAGAGAGAAACAGCTGGACGTTGGAAGGGGCTTCTTTAGAGAGAGTTGGGCTGTGAGTCTCCTGAGGGTTCTCCTCAGCTGGAAATGGGGTGGGGTGCAGCAGGGGTTGCCTTTCACTCCCCAAAAGCAAACCGTCAGGTGCTCCCATGGGATCATTCAATGACTTGACTTATGTCCGCTGAGTTTGGGATTACAGTGGATGGGGGCTGACTCTTGCTTGGGAAAGGTGAATAGAGAGAGGCTGAGGACAAAATGCAGAATGGCACCATTCTGTGATGGCCAGTTCTCAGGCCAGGACCCGGGAGGAGAGCAAAGCACTTGACTTGGGCACAGCATTAAGAGGGCATCAAAAAACTTGGTCACCAAGGTAAATACTATTTTAAATGCAATATTTAAGAAAATCATAATGCAGAAAAATCATGGTGAACAACAGGTCAGATTTTTACATAAAGACACATCTAGTGGGGCTGGGATTAGAACAAGGGGAGTGAAGTGAGTCGTACAAGTGTGTTTTCATTGATAACTTTTGCGCCCATGGCAAGTGCCTGTGCTCCTGCAGTCTATCATGGCAAAGGGGGTTTGTGTGTTTGTCATGGACCCGGCATGGATCACACAAGCTGGAGCAAGAGCCAGGGAGGAATGGCTCAGGGACTCTCAGGAGGGTGTGGCTGGAGATGAACTGCCTGCCCCAGAGCTAAGGGAGGAGCCACCAGCCAGAGGAGATGCATTTGTCCACCTGGAGGGACTTCCGGTTAAAGATGCTCAGCAAGGGGGTGAGGGGTAGGAGGTGTGGTCAGAGGACATGGCACTTACAGGAATGCCCGGGAGAGAAAGAATCCACTTGCCCCACTGGCCACTGCTTCAGCACCCCGCCAACAGAACCGGGGCCTTTCTCCCTCACACCCCTCTCCCTGCCTGCCTCTTGAGGCTCTGCAGGAGTCAGACCACCCAGTGAGTGAGAAGGGATAGAAACCTGCAATGGTGAACCAGCAGAGAGCCCAGACAATTCCTGGAGCAAGCAGGTCAAGCCGGGCAGCGGGAGCTTTGGCTTTAAATTAACTAGAAAGTTGGATTATTGCCTGGACAAGTAAATTCCTCAACTGAGCCTGGGGAGGCTAAAGTGACATTTAAAAACTTTTTTTAATTTTTATTTTTTTCAGACAGAGTCTTGTTCTGTCACCCAGGCTGGAGTGCAGTGGTACGATCTTGGCTCATTGCAACCTCCACTTCCCAGGTTCAAGTGATTCTCCTGCCTCAGCCTCCCTAGTAGCTGGAACTACAGGCATGCACCACCATGCCCAGCTAGTTTTTGTATTTTTAGTAGAGACAGAGGTTTCGCCATGTTGGCCAGGCTGGTCTCGAACTCCTGACCTCAGGTGATCCTCTTGCCTTGGCCTCCCAAAGTGCTGGGATTACAGGAGCTGCTGTGCCCAGCCTAAAATGACTTGTTACCCATGAGTGACCAAGAAGTCACAGAGCCTGGTTGGAATTTTATTTAGGCTGGAACTGTGGTTCTCAAGCCTGGCTTGCACAGGAGAATCACCTGAGAGCTTTTAAACATCCTGCTGTGTGGGCCCCACCTAGACCTGATTCAACAGTCTCTGGGCTTGGGGCACAGGCACCAGGATGGCCAACGGTCTCAGATGCTTTCACATACAAGGGAAGTTAGGAGCTACTGATCTGGGCAGGGAGGATGCCACCACAGAGCAGTTTCTTCTGGGCTAAGAAAGAAGCGAAGCTATTTTTTGATCACATGAGGCATGTCTTACAAATTTGATGTTCCACTTACATACAAGCAAGTTAAAAAAGAAACAACTAAAATTTCTTCCCCCAGAGATAATCAATGTTGAGATAATCAGTGATAATCCATGTTGAGACTGTGGTGCACGTCCTTCAAAATATTATTTTTTAAAAAATGTGTGTGTAGGCCGGGCGAGGTGGCTCACGCCTGTAATCCCAGCACTTTGGGAGGCCAAGGTGGGCAGATCACGAGGTCAAAAGATCGAGACCATCCTGGCCAACATGGTGAAACCCCATCTCTACTAAAAAGATACAAAAATTAGCTGGGCATGGTGGCACACATCTGTGGTCTCAGCTACTCAGGAGGCTGAGGCAGAAGAATCGCTTGAACCCAGGAGGCAGAGGTTGCAGTAAGCCAAGATTGTGCCACTGCACGCCAGCCTGGCAACAGAGCAAGACTATGTCTCAAAAAAAAAAGTGTGTGTATATGTGTATGTACACACACATATATTAAATATCTATTATAAATGATGGCTGGCTGCAGTGGCTTACGCCTGTAATCCCAGCACTTTGGGAGGCTGAGATGGGAGGATGGCTTGAGGCTAGGAGTTCGAGACTAGCCTGGTCAACATAGCAAGACTCCATCTCAAAGAGAAAAAGAAAAAATCTATTCTAAATGAAAAGTAAAAATTTCAAAATATTCAGAACTCAAGTAGTCATAATGTTTTCCAGAGCAGGCCTGGACTCCAAGGGTAAAAAGGAGTTTGTAAAGTTGGCCTCTGAGTGGTGATGTGTATTCCGGAGACTGAGAGGACTGAGCCCCTGGCCTCCCATGGCAATGCTGAAATGCATTGTGGGCATGATGCCAAGAACCCCAGACTCTGGGCGCAGAGGTCCGGGTGGTGCGGGGTCCCTGAACAAGGCTCACCTTCAGGGCCCCAGGGCCCCGGTGCTGGGTAGGCACATCATACACCTGGGAAGGCAGAGTCGGCAGCGAGGCTCGGGCAGGTCTGGGAAGCGTGAGGATGGCCTTGGAGAGAAAGGAGGAGAGCAGAGGGAAAGGAAATGTCACTCTGAGGATCACAATCGGGTTCAAAGTCATCTCTCCAAAAGCAGAGACAGCTGGGTGGGCATGTTGAGGGCGTCACCCGGCACCCCTGATGCAGGCTTTTCACTCTCAAGACTGAGAATAGCAGGGTGCAGGTGGGAGGCTCCTGGTGGGGGCAGCCTGCCTCACGGGGGACCCAGGTGCCCTACGTCTGCCTCACCTGGGAAGTTCACCGGAAGCAGGTTAACATGCAGATGCCTGGGCCCACGCCGGTTGGATGGAGTCTCTGGGTATTGAGGGGGGCCTGGGAACCGGCGCTGTTAAAAAGCTTACCAGGTGATTCTAATGTTCTCTAGGGACCAGGAGGCTGTGACTCTGATACTGGGTTATTCATCTGCATTCATCTAGCTAGGCTGAGGCTGCAGACGTGCACGCGACAGGCAGAGGGACTGTACGGATAAAAGGTAGGGACTAACAAGGTGTGGGAGGAAACTGAGGCTGGGAGCTGCCTCAGGACTCGCCACCTGGGCTGAGACAGGGACACAGGAGGTGAGCAGATGAACTGCAGCTGGCGGCTTTTCCTGGCAGCAGTGGGAGGCGGAAGAGGACCTGGCCATGTGAAAGTGATGGAGAGGGGTGAGGGAGAGGAGGGGGAGACGGGGTGGGAAAGGTTAACAGGGAGCAGTCAGTTAAGGAGTTTTCATTTTGTCCTACAAAGGGTGGGATTGAGAATCTGATTTATATTTGATTGAGCGCACTTGGCCAGTTATTGCTCAAGCCATTTTGGGAAACGTGGTCTCAGCCATGGAGCCTGGGTCTGTGCACAGGAACTTCAGATTCAACTTAATCCTTTAGAGCTCAATGTTGTCGGCTCAGTGGTGGGTATCACACTGATTGCCACAGAGAAGCTTCTGAACCCAGCCAGGGTCCGAGTCACCTAAAAAACTTTAAAAGAATACAGCTGCTGGCCAGACACGGTGTCTCACACCTGTAATCCCAGCACTTTGGGAGGACGAGGCGGGTGGATCACGAGGTCAAGAGATCAAGACCATCCTGGCCAACATGGTGAAACCCCGTCTCTACTAAAAATACAAAAAAATTAGCTGGATGTGGTGGTACGTACCTGCAGTCCCAGCTACTCAGGAGGCTGAGGCAGGAGAATTGCTTGAACCCGGGAGGCGGAGGTTGTAGTGAGCCGAGATCCCGCCACTGCACTCTAGCCGGGTGACAGAGCGAGACTCTGTCTCAAAAAAAAAAAAAAAAAAAAAAAGACTACAGCTGCCAAGGCTCCCATTCAGACCTCCTGAACTAGAACATCTCTAGGAGGGGCCGAGGAATGGGCAATTTCCTCTAGAGTAGAGGATGCTGTCTGCCGGCGGCTTAACGCCTAAGAGGGAAATGAGGTCTGAGCACACCAAGGACACAGGCTGGGAAGCAACACGGGACCCGGAAGAGATGACAGGGTGACGCTCTGGAGTCTTGGTCAGGGAGAATGTATTTCTCACCGGGGTCCCAAGGAGCTGTCGCTGAGTAGGGGGCTTTCCAAGTAGGCTCAGGGGCTGGTTAGGGTTTCAATATTCGCAGTGGGGAGGTGGCGAAGGGAAATGCAGGTGGAGGGGCAGTTTCTGAGGACTGGGTCAGGGTCCCTCCACCCATCACGGTGTCCCCAGGACGCAGTACTGGGGATGGCATGTGGTACGTGCCAGGTTTATCTGTTGGTTTTTGGTGAACGGATGTGCACAGCTTGGATGGTAAACATTAGCACACAGTGTAAAAATCTGCCCCACCATTCATCTGGCTAGACTCAAGGATGCAGATAAAGCAGCTGCAATGCAAACAGAATGAACATTTCTTCCAAGGACACGCTGCAGCTGTCACATGTCAAAACAGCCCCCTTCATTGAGTGATGACTGCTTTCTTACTCCCTGAGAAACTTTGTTCCCTAAAATCCTAGGCTCTCGAAACACAGCTCTCCAAAGTGCTATCAGTAAGAATGAAACATTCCACTCCTGCGTGTGGGATCTGAGTCATTGACGGAGAAGCAGCCTCGATCCCCAGGCCCTCATGTGGTACTTCGGACAGGAGTTTCCGGGCCCAGCACTCCCCTCTATCTCCGCTTCGTGGTTCCCAAGGAGAGGGCGGCCACGTCCAGCCTGCATGCTGCCCTGTTGTGCACAGAGCCTCTCAAGGCACACCTTGGCTTAGATTTCGCCTAAACCCCACCTTTCCCCATCTCATCATTACGCTGCCTTTTCCTGTTTGCGAGCTGCCCCGTGGTTCCTCTGCTCTTCGATCTTCCTCTCTACATTTAATGAATTGATTTTGTTCTCAGTGGTCTCAGGCTGATTGGTCTAGGTGGACAAGCCCGTCAGCGGTTTCTCATTACATTTTGAATGAAATGAAATCCAAGTTTTGTTTTTGGTTTTTTTTTTTTTTTTTTTTGGAGACAGTCTTGCTCTGCCACCCAGGCTGGAGTGTAATGGTGCCATCTTGGCTCACTGCAACCTCTGCCTCCCAGGTTCAAGTGATTCTCCTGCCTCAGGCTCCTGAGTAGCTTGGATTACAGGTGCCTGCCACCACATCCTGCTACTTTTTTTTATTTTTAATAGAGACGGAATTTCACCATGTTGGCCAGGATGGTTTTGAACTCCTGACCTCAAGTGATCCGTCTGCCTCGGCCTCCCAACGTGCAAAGATTACAGGCATGAGCCACCGTGTCCGGCCAGAAATCCAAGCTTCTCACCAGCCCAGACAGGCTACGTAGCAGCCATGCCGAGGGACCCTGAGTGAGTGTCTCTGACCATTGGCTGTCATGTCTGTATCTCCTCCCTCCCAGCTCTCACTTATTTGAACACACCAAGCTTTCTCCTACCGCAGACTGTTTCCAAATGCTGTCCCAAGGCCCATTCTTCCCCTAAGAGTTCAGGCCCGTTTTATTCTGATGGCTGACTTTGGGGTCCGCTATGCCTATAAGAGCACCTCCGCAGAGCAAAGGGACTTTCCTGGGTCTGACATTTCAGATGGAAGGAAGCCAGCTCAAAAATGCCCAGTGCTTCTTGGAAAACGTAGGTCCAGTGTGGTGATCAGTTAAGGAACATGTTTGAGAAATGCGGTTTCCAAAGGTTTAGGGAGACAGAAGGAAATTCCAGTTTAGGAACTAGTGGGTCCAAGAGCAATTTCACCAGGAAATCTGGCCCTTTTCTCTTGAAATACCAAAGAGGCCCTTCTGAATATAAACTGAAATCAAATATGTTCTTTATGTGTGTGGTTTTTTAAAATTAGGCCAGCACATTATATTAAGGAAGTTGGAATAAAAAGTAAAACAAAGCTCCAGATAGTGGCTACCCTGGTGCGGAAGTGAGAGAGAGAGGGCACTGGGGGCTCCTGGTCTGCTAGCTTTGTTGTTTCTAGGTCTGGATATAAGTTAGAGCTGTTACGTAGCATCTGTAGGTGAGATTTCAATAAAGTGTTCATTGGAAAGGATGATGTCAGCCACAGAGTCAGGTGAAGGAAGATCAAGGAATAAGGGCTCTGTTTGGGGGGTGATGGAAGTCATGCTTCATCAGCTGTGTGACTCTGCATGAGCAATTTCACCTCCCTGGGAATTGATGTCCTCATCTGTAAAATGAAGACTTGTTCTAATCTAAAGATATGCAGAGAGCTCGTCCAGCTATAGAGATGTCTGATTCTGACACATAGATACCTCTCTTAGGACAGCTTAAGAAAAATGACATATTTCCACGTTGACGAATGTTAATTTTGGGCCACTCTTAGCGTACAGACTGTCAACACAGATTTTAAAAACAGTCCATGAAATGACTGGCAAAGGCTGTGTTCCAAGCCTGTGAAGTCGCCATCGGCAAACAGTTCTAACTGTTGCGCGTGCCCGCAGTCCCAGCTACTCAGGAGGCTGAGGCAGGAGGACCCCTTGAAGCCAGGAAGCGGAGGTTGCAGTAAGCCGAGATCACGCCACTGCATTCTAGCCTGGGCGACAAGAACAAAACTCCGTCTCAAAAAACAAAAATATTTTTTAATTTCTTGCCTGCTTTGTGCTTGGGGTCTCTTAGCAAGAGATGTGGTCTGTGACTTACAAGCCAGGAATGCCATCTCACTTGGCTTCTGGGACAGCTAGAAGAACTTGAAGAGCAGTTAACAATCAGTTAAGGATTTTCTGATCCACAGAAAAGGCAGGCATCTCCTCCCTGCCCCTGTCGTCTAGCCATTAGCCCTGAGGCTAAAACTGCCCAGAAACTACATTTCAAGTGGAAGTGGCTGTTGATAGACCAGGCAACTCTGAGCCACTAGTTTGGTGGCTCATGCCTGTAATCCCAGCACTTTGGGTGGCCGAGGTGGGCGGATCACCTGAGGTCAGGAGTTTGAGACGAGCCTGGGCAACATGGCAAAACCCTTCTCTACTAAAAATACAAGAAAAAAAAAATTAGCCGGGCTTGGTGGCAGGAGCCTGTAATGCCAGCTACTTGGGAGGCTGAGGCATCAGAATCTCTTGAACCCAGGAGGCAGAGGTTGCAGTGCCTACACTCCAGCCTGGGTGACAGAGCGAGACTGTGGGTTAAAAAGAAAAAAAAAGGTAAATAAATAGGGAAGGAAAGGAGCAAACGTGTAACTTACAGGTGGGGCAGACATGGAGGGAGCTTAAGGAAGGGAAACAGGGCAGGAAACTCCCCCGGGTGTTTTACTGTGGCCACCTCAAGAACCCGGGTCAGTGGTTAAAGGGCCCCCCCTGAATTTCCTTGTGGTTTCTGTTGTTAGCCACAGCCTGCACAAGCAAGGGCTCAAATTGTTGATGCACTTAACATCAAGGACAGATCTCATTGCTAATGCCCGGATCCGTTTTCAAAGTTAAATTTCAAAGTTAAAGTAAACTCATCTTTCCTTTCACACGGATGTCAATCTAGCAGTTGACAGTGGACTCCACGTTTCTGAAACCATATGTTGTGTATGGTCAATTTTGTTCACGCAACTGATATTTACTGAGCACCTTGCAGGAGCCTGGCACTGTATTGAGGGGCATGAGGAGGGGGGAGATGCCAGCCTTTTCTGTGGATCAGAAAATCCTTAACTGATTGTTACTGCTCTTCAGGTGTCCTCTGGTTAACAGAGAACATTGCATCTGTTTTTCTTTCACAGAGAGGAAGGAATTGCTATTGATTTTTTTGTTTTTCCTTTTCATGGCTTTGGAAGAAATTCAAACTAACTTCAGCTAATGTCATTTGTTCTTAGAAGAAACCTTACCAAAGCCCTGCTCTGAGTCAGCTGCTCGGACAGCAGCTGAGCATGCCGGGCCTAGACTGGGGCCAGTTGTTCCAGAAAAGAGAGTTAGGGTCCACCTCGTTGACTACTTCAGAACGTTCCACCAGTTTCCTGCTGGTGTTTGTAGGGAGCGTGTGTGCATGGCAGCTGTTCTTTTTAACAACTGTCTGGTTCTATGTCTTATAGCCCAGGGAGTTCGAAAATGCAAAGTATTCAAAATCTTCTGAGAAATCAACCCTTTCCTGTTTGAAGACAACTTTGGAAGTTGATATGGAGAAGGCCTGAATGCGGAGGGGCCCATTCCTGGGGCCCCCACAGCAGCACATGCTTTGGGGAGAGTGGCCTTTCCATGCACACAGACCTTGCCAAGATCTCTGCCAGAGCTGTGGCTGGGTGGGATGTGTCATGGAGCTGAAAGCAAAGCACCTGATGGCTGGAAGTACCTGCAGCGACTCAGGCCTGTGCACATCTGCTCTGTACCTCATGAAGGCCAGGGCTTTGGGGGAAACAGTGAATTATTTTTCTCCTTCTTTCCTTTAATTATTTTCCTTATTAAAAAAGAAGTTTTCATTCTGCATTTGTTTTATTATTTCTAAAGACAGGGTCCTGGTCAGTCACCCAGGCTGGAGTGCAGGGAGACGCCATAGTAATAGCTCTCTGCAGCTTCAATCTCCTGGGCTCAGAGGTTCCTCTTGCCACAGCCTCCTGAGTAGATGGGGCTATAGGTGCCTGCCACCACGCCTAATTATTTGCTTCTTCTTATTATTATTATCAGAGATGAGTTCTCACTATGTTGCCCCAGCTAGTCTCAAACTCCTAGGCTCGAACGATCCTCCTGCCTTGGCCTCCCAAAGTGCTGGGATTACAGGAATGAGCCACCGAGCCTGGCCCATTTCACATTTAATGAATGCTCTTTTTCCTCTGTTTTTTAAAAACGGATGCTTTAGGCCAGGAATGGTGGCTCCAGCAATCTGGGCTCCCATTTTGCGCATTTGATTTGAAGGACACCCATGACTCAAGGCGTGGTTAGGACCTGGGTGTTTCCACAACCCTCAACCCATGTCTAGTTGTTGGAAATGTGCATACCTGTTTTGGAAAGCTGAGAGTCTTTTCACAGATGATTCTGGCGCTGGTGGGAGGGTCAGGGAATTCGTAGACTTGCGCAGCTGGGGGCTGGGGCCCCTCCACCCAACTCCTCATCTGCTCATAAACAGGGCCTGGAGTGGGAGGGCGGGGTAGAGTGGGCACCTGATAGGTCTCCTCTGAGCTGGCAGGAGTTTCTTCCAGGCCTCTCAGGAATGGGGGGCGTAGCCTATCTGCAGCGACCTCCGTGAGGATTTGGAGGCGGTTGGCAGGGGCCAGACCTTGTCTCCCATGGAGCAAACACTTCCACCAGCCCTCGCTTTCTGGCACCTGTTGCTCCAGAATGGTCAGGATGTCCCCTCTGCTGAAAGCCAGCTCGTCGGAGCAGTCAGGGCAGTTGTCATAAAGTGCCCTGGCCAGGAGTGCCTGGGAGTAGAGGGGGAAGAGAATTTGCTGTTAGCACCATGGCCAGTGACCGTTACACCAATCCCACTCACTTAGAAAGCTTAATGCAGATTCATAATGCCCTTTCATTTCATTTCTTTCACCCCAGAGGTTCTTGCCCCTGCTCTTTGCCTGATTTGTTCCTTTACATCCTTGGGGTCGAAGTGAAATGTCACATCCTCAGGGCAGACTTACCTGTACCCTGAGACAAGTTTGTGTGATCCTAATATGGTTTTATGACTCTGTTTTGTTTCTGTTTTTGGGACAGGGTCTCACTCTGTTGCCCAGGCGGGAGTGCAGTGGTGAAATCTTGGCTCACTGCAGTCTCAACCTCCCAAGCTCAGGCAATCCTCCCACCCCAGCCTCCCAAGTAGCTGGGACTACACACGCGTGCTGCCACACCGGGCTGAAGTCTGTATTTTTTGTAGAGAAGGGGTTTTGCCATTGCCCAGGCTGGTTTCCCACTGGATGGCCCTGTTTTAATTTGTGAAAACCATGACCCTTGTACTTATGTAGTTCAGTGAGCACACGGTTGGGTAGAAATTCCTACCTGTGTATCTTTGAGCAAATTAGCTACTCTATTTGATCTTCAGTTTCCTCATCTGTAAAATGGTAATAATAGTAATACCTACCTCATGGGGTTACTGTGAGAATTAAATGGGTGGGTATATATACACATACTATATATGATGGGTTGATATATATATGTACACCATATATGTATCTGTTATATATATTTCAATCTATTATATATTGTGTATACATATGCGTATCTCTCTTTCTGTCAAGTATAGGTGGCTGGCATTTAGTAAGCGCTTGGTACAGGCAGCTGTGATTGTTATTACTATTAGGTTGCTTTTTGTCTGGTGTTTGCTATTTTCCTTCTGAACTGGATTGGCAGTTCTGTGACTGCTGGGCCCACATCTCACTTGGCTACTGTGTCCCCAGTGTCAGGCCCAGGCCCAGGTACATAGAAGATGCTCAATCAATGTTCATTAATAAGTGAATGACAAGAGGCTGGGCCTAGTGGTTCACGCCTGTAAACCCAGCACTTTGGGAGGCTGAGGAGGGGAGATCACTTGAGGTCAAGAGTTCAAGACCAGCCTGGCCAAAATGGCGACACCCCATCTCTACTAAAAATATAAAAATTAGCTGGGCATGGTGTTGCATGCCTGTAGTCCCAGCTACTTAAGAGACTGAAGCAAGAAAATCACTTGAACTCTGGAGGCGGAAGTTGCAATGAGCTGAGGTCAAGCCACTGCACTCCAGCCTGGGCAACAGAGTGAGACTTCATCTCAAAAAAAAAAAGAAAGAAAGAAAGAAAGAAGAAAAAAAAAAACCTAGTGAATGACAAGAGACTCAGGGGTCAGTAACCTGTCCGTAGTCACATAGCCAGGATCAAAACCAGTTTCCTAATTCTCCCACCCATGCTGTTTCAGTAAGTCACACAGTTCTAAAAAGCATCACCTTGTTACCATGGCAGTGATGGCCAACCCCCTCCTTAATTGAACTTTCCACTGAAATTACATGAAGGCAACTTGTTACCTTAGGTTTTAAAGTTATCACTTTCACCTCCTTTTTATATCAATATATGTTCACTTTCAGAAAAATAGAGAAATGAAAGAAGAAATAAAAATTATCCATAATCCCACCACTCAGACATAACAATTCACACTGTTTTTGGTATTTATCCTTCCAGTTGTTTTTTTTTTTTTTTTTAATTTTTCTAAATAAATTTAATTATACCTTTTACATCCAATAACCCCTGTTGATACAGTTCTTAAATAAAGCAAAAGTGACTAACTCTCCCATTATGTTTCTTGAAAATTATTGTGCTTCTTGCATAATATTTCTTTTCTGTTACAAAAATGGAATTGGAAGACCCATGCTGATAAATACCATCTTACGCAGACAAGCAGGTCTGTGTGGATGTGGGGAAACACTACTACTAGTCTATCTAAAAAGCATAGGTAGAATCAGATCCTCCACGCAGCCAAAGAGACACTGAACACGCCCCACAAAACCTAATACAGCTGAGATCCTAGGAGATCATGAACAAGTTCTGTAAATAAAACCTTTTGTTCTTTCTACAAAATAAAAGTTCACTAAAGAAAAAGTAAAAATAATAATAACCAAACAGAAGAAAACAAAAGTGCCTGCAATGTCACCACCACAGGTGAGTGCTGTTAATCCTTTGCTTTTTGATCTTTCTAGATCTTTTCTTCTGCATATTTGTTCACATACACATCTAGAGTCATCATTATATTTTAAAAACCTAATGGCATAATATGATACACACTTTTATAATCTGCCTTTTTTTCCCACTTAAAAATAAATTGTGAACATCTTTCCATGTCAATAAACATTTTTCTTCAGTATTCTTTAAAACAGTGACACGGTTTTCCATTGCATGGATGAAACAACTTTTCTTCTTGGTTTTCGACATTCTAGCTAATTACAGGTGTTAGCTATTGCAAACAATGCTGAAATGATCATCTTTATAGCTAATATTGGGAACTCCCCTTATTCATTTCCATGGATAAATTCTTCAGTGGGAAGTTGGCAGGTGGAAACCATTAGGGCTCTGGATGCTGTCACGTTGCCCTCCAGCAAAGCTTCAATCAATTCACACCTCCGCCCACTGCGAATGAGGCTGCACAGCTCCTTGTACCCTCATCTACCCTGTGCATTACTTCTGTGTTGGGTGATGTATTTGTTTAAAAAACTTTGTCAAGGAAACTTGAAATGTTTTCTAGCACATTCCTGGCAGCACCCAGACCACTCAAAACTACAGAATCAGCTGCAGCCCTCAAGTCGCTGTGGGGATAACCTGCAGGCAACTCGGGGAATGTGTCACCTGCCTGCTGTCCCCCACTTTTTACTCATTTTTTTTAAAAGAGAAAAGGTCCCAAAAGGAGTTAGGGCCGTGTGTAGTGTGAGAGGCATTCCTGCCTGCAGAGATTCCTCTCTTCTCCATGGTGAAGCAGAAATCCTCAAGTGAAAGGGAAGATGTGAAGCTATCATTTGTCTGAGCCCAGTGAGTGTGTGAGATTACACTGAGAAGCAGAGAGCTGAGCTGCAGCTCACGGACTCTGACCACACTTCCTGGAGTCAGGCACCCCACGGGGTGTCTTCCTGGGTCAGCCAATTGTTCCTTCACAAATTCAGCAAACATTTATGGAATGTTTATGACATACGGCACTGTTGTCCTCCCCGAGTTTTCAAGGGACATGAATTTTGATCATGCCACTCCTCTATCACCCTTCAATGGCTCCCTCCTGCCTTTTGGATGAAGCCCAGACTGCCCAAATCTTCAAGGCCCTGTGTGATTTTGCCCCTTTCCACGCTTCTAGCCTCATAGGTATCACTTCCTCGTTGGCCCCTGGGACGCCACCCTTTCTGAGGGCTTGAGTCCATCACACATGCTATTCTCTCTACCCCAAAGCATTTAGTAGCTTTCCACCCAGTGAAATCCCACACATGCTTCCAGACTCATCTGAAATGTCACTTCCTTAGAAAAAGGGCCCCTGACACCCTCTAGACCAAACTAGTTCTCCCCATACTTCTGCTCAACACCTTTGCACATCAGTACCTATCACATTAGGGTTCAACTCATCTAGGATCTGTCTCCCCACAAGAACGTAAGCTCTGGGAGAGTGAGGGCCACACCCTCTTCGCTCTGGACTGCATCCCACAGTCCAGCACAGGGTACAGGATATTTGGCTACTTGTTGAATTAGTGAATGAAAGTGAGGCGTGACGTAACGCCCCCATTTTCAAGTCTTTAGGAGCTAAAAAGTCATAAACACCAAGATGAGCACTCCTATTTCTGTATGGAGTAGGGTAAGAGGGAAGCTTTCTGTGACCTTCTGCCCACGCTTTTGGATAACCTTCAGGAAGAATGATCACCAGCATATCCAGAAGATAAACCTCAAGGCATAACTAGTCTGCACATGGAATCATTATCCCTTGAATGTGTTGGGAGTGGGTTTCACAAGAATGTGGGGGCTGAGCTTGGAGAATCCAGCAGTGATGAAGTATTTAAGGGAATAGAGTTTTGGAGTCTTGTAAAGAGTATTGATTAAAGGTCAAAACTTAGGCCGGGCGTGATGGTGCATGCCTGGAATCCCAGTACTTTGGGAGGCGGAGGCATGCGGATGAATTGAAGCCAGCAGTTCTGGGCTAGCCTGACCAACGCAGTGAAACCCTGTTTCTACCAAAAGATACAAAAATTGTCCAGCATGGTGGCGCATGCCTATAGTCCTAGCTCCTGGGGAGGCTGAGGTGGGAGGATGGCTTGAGCCCAGGAGGTGGAGGTTGCAGTGAGCTGAGATTTCGCCACTGCACTATAGCCTGGGTGACAGAGTGAGACCCCCAAAACAAAAAAACAAAACAAAAAAAAACTTATGAAAGTTACATGCTACTTTGTAGATTGTTTTCCAGTTAAATAGGCAAATAATTGCTGTTCAGTAAAAAACGATAATCTGAAAGGTTATGGTTTATTACCTTGTAGGACTTAAATCAGTTTCATATTTAGCCTTGCAATCACACTCTAATATTCCTTAATTAAATTGCCTATACCTACGTAGCGCCTCAATGATCTCTTTTTAAAAAAAATACATTCAGGTTGGACAAGTATCCTCAATGATCTTTGACTTAGTTTTAACATTTCATTGATTCCCTATTAATCCATCAAAATTGATTAAAATCTTTGACATGAGTTCATTTTATATTTGCATGGGAGTCATAATTTTGCCTTTTTGAAAATTGTACTTTAACCATCCACATTGGGGGGAAAAAAAGGAAAATAAAAGCCTGTAATGAAATACATTACAGTATATTTCATTGTAATTCCCATGAAATACATTTAAATCAATCTTTAAAAACCCACCATCTGAAATGTGCTTGCATTTGTCTAGAAATAAGATAGTGCGTATCTTTAGACAGAGCAGTTGTTAAAATATGGCAGCTGCTCTGAAGATT